ATTCTTGGACATAGTAGAGGTCATTCCTGTTGTATGTACATCCCCTACTACTGGCGAAGCATTGGGAAGTCGGCGGGAAAAGCGACATCCACTCCTCGAATTCCTTATGTCTTCTAAACTACTGGGATGCAATAGGAGTCGCTCGTTTTGTCTTGTGATTGAGCTGACACGGTTCATATGCTTTCCATTCAAGTTTGAACTTGGGGACTTGTTAATGTACCTAGCTTTTGAATGCTTAGACTATTGTTACGACATCTTTATGAGTTTCTCTTTCTATTCTATTCGATCCATCTCCACTCAAGTCACTGTACATTTGTCATTTTATCGTTTGACCTAGTTGCTGCACCACAAAAGAATTGGACGTAGCTAATTTTAGTATGCACACCCGTGTTGTCGTTACAGACGTCAAAGGAGTGTGTTTGGCGGATAATAATGGTACATGTGCCGAGATGCGATATAATCGCATACGATGACACATGAAAGCACACTTTCCGTGATAATTTCTGCTCCGACGGCACATCAGCAAGCAAACTTGCGCCGGTACCTTCACTTCTTAGAGCAACCGTAGTACTGAGAGAAGAAATTCAACAGCTCGATCCGAACACCATCCCGACGCCGTTCATGTGATCATGATTTTGCTCATGATTTTGATANATTAGTTTGCAAATGAGTGTATTTCGATAGTTTAGAATTACGTTCTTTGGTTTAGGGTCGACCACTAGGTCGCAGAACAGTCATTGCGTCACAAATATTTCGGTCAAAATCCTCCTGAACAGAGAGAGGCTGCCAAATTTTGGCATTCAACAAGATAATGATGACACTGGATCCAATCATAAAGGGAAACTACCACGAATTGATCAACTGGAAAGAACAAATGCTAGGATTGTTTTTAGCTAACAGCTGCCTGTAGTTTCGCGGCTAAAACATCCTCATCACGATGGCAAATGGCAGGGCGAATAAAAAGTGCAAAACTGAATAATCCTCACCGCAGAACTGCTAACGGAAAAAGTTATTCGGTGAAATACATGCACCTTCCTGGTAAAGAATAGGTATTACCTACGAAACAAGCTTCACATAGTCACGGTTGCTGAAATTTCCGGTGCAATTGTATGGTCACCGAATCGGGTGGGATAAGAGTCACTCATTTGGTTTATTGGAACGCCCTTACATATTATTAGTGGATGAATGAAAGGACATCAAAGGTATGGCTGCGCTGGCTTTGACTGCCTGTGAAATCTTGGCTTTAATTTGTCCCAGATATTTACTCTGACGCACGTATAACTATGGCGTCACTGACGGATTGCGTGAGAGCACCGGTTTCTTTGGTTCGGTTTTTCACTCAGACAGTGCTGAATTTATCTCCATTGCTCAGGGCAGTCCTGTGCCCATGTACACTCCACTATTCGGTTAACATTTCAGGCAGCGGAACGATCTTTTATCCAAACTATCACAGGCATCTGCACATCTGGTCAGCGCAGTTCGGAAAGGCATCATAGAACCTTGCCTACTGGACAAAATCCGTAACGGATCCAAGCAGGAGAAAACTCATACTGATGCATCTGACAGCACTGTGGCGCTTGCGCAAAGCTTCCTGCAGCTAATGCTCCAGTTGCTGAATTATCGCAAGTATGTAGTTGACTTTCCACGACATTTAACTTCGTTCTACTCACAAATCAGGTTTAGCCTGGCACTTCATCTTCTTTATCCGCTGGATACTGACATCTCTTTCTTGCGCCAGACTGTGGGACAGAAACACATGTAAGTTGATAGCTTCCTGTTCGAAAGATTGCGTTTCTTGCATGAAAGCTTTTATTATACCAATCAAACTTTGTATTTTTCGGTCTGAACACACGTATGCTTAAATTCGGTCATATCTTGTCAAGA